CTAGCAAGGAGATCGGGCTGAAACTATAGCTACAAGCTATCCAAGGATGGTACTATAGAATGTCACCTCAAGGTAGGCCTAGTGGCGTCATCTCTTGGTTAGGCCGGAAACTTATCAATCCACCCTCGTATATATGTACCTAGGTTAATGTGTGTCTTGTTTACTTTATGTAGTTGAATACATGCAGGCGTACGTATCCTCCAATTTACCTGTAGACAGGATAGGAATTATATTACAACATCGGCATTACATAAGCTTTTTGATTTGTATTTTATATTAGCTTTAATACGTTCGATATAGAATATGAAGAGATATCGGAAAAAGTTTGGAACTCAGCCCATCATCACGCTTTTACTGTGGAGCCATCAAGCATTAAATATTTTATTAATTTAACAAAAGTCATTCATAAGAAATTAAAATGCTCGATCTCATTCTGATGTTGAAGAAAATTTAACCTGAAATTGAAACAATGAAATGAATACTTAATTGACTAAATATGTTTTGGCATACATGTAAAGATATTAACAGTAATATGATAAATGAAAAGAGAATTTGCCTTGTAACAGTAACTAAATTTCCCTTAACGAAAACTTTCTCGGAAATATCTCTTCATTATTATCCAGAAATACTGTAGGTACCTTGAACATTCGCTTGAAATTTCAATAAAACAGTTCCTGAGTTTACTCAGTTCTATATAAAGAAATAATTTAATTGTGCTTGAAGTGAGTTTATTCGCAGTAAAAGTTTTCACTTTAAATATTCTTCACTTGTTTGTTTTATATATACGTATATAAAAACAAAGAATACTTCCCTGGAATATATCTCTTGTAGCGCTTGCATCAATACAGTGAGTAGATAACATTTTGACTCCTTACACTTTTGAAAATTAAAATGTGCTTTTAAAAAAATTACAGCTAAAATATAGCTATTTGTTCAATAAGTTGTAGTTATCGCTTTTCTGTAATTTTCTTGTTTTGTTAAACGACTGCTTACATTATAATTGCTGCCGTTTTCTAAGGAATAACTTCACATAAGTATACATCGCATTAGTACTTATATTAAGTGTTACGTAATAATTAACAATAAATAATATTTGCTAAAATGTTGAAAATGAGGACTGAAGGCTTATTGTGAATATTTCTCAAACTAATGAGAAGAAATTAAACGAATTTGTTGTATGTATAAGAAATAAACATTAATAATAATTAAGTAGGCAATATTTATCTAATGAATTAAAAAAGTGCTAATGATACGCGACACACTAGAAAGTTATAAGGTGATGACTCTAATATCTACAAATATTAATTATTCTTTTTAACTGGTATTCCTTATAACTCGATTAGGTAATTAAGTAAATGATTTTTACTTATCCACTTGTATCAACATAAAGTTAATAACTGTATACGTAAGAGTTTGAGAGTACTAGAAATAATTTTCTTCAAGTGTTTTACTATTAGTTTCTATTTTCCATAAATTGTAATGGAAAGAAAATTTGACTTTCTGATTACTGTATAGGTACCGCAAGCAAAAGTGTGGTTCTTAGTATTGAGTTATAATATGCTGGTAACGAATTTTTTGTATCTTATACAAGAACAATATGCCATGGAACTCTATGCAAATGAGAGCACAGTAACGAAATAACCTGGGAATTCAGAGAAACTTGCCATCTTTTGTGAACAATATATCAGATAATTGAAAAATTGGTTTTTTAAATTCTTCTTTCTGTCTATGTTTATATACCTTTAAAAACAACTTTTTGTAACCTCTGTCTAAGACTAAATAGCTAAAAAGCGTCTAATGATGTAGTACGTATTTTCAATCCAATTATAGAATCCGTTGTTGCGATGTACTTTTAAGCTCTTTCTAAGGTCCACTCATTCGCTTAGGCTGTTTTCAGACATGCCAGTGACAGTAACGGCTCCGGCATCGGTATCGTGCCGGTTGCCAGTTTGAATTTAGTTACCATACACTCAGCAATAAACAAAACATATTACTATATCCAAGAAGAAACCACAGAAAGGAGAACAGAAGATCATGGGTAGATACACTCCTAGTTGTTGGATGGTACTTCTTATGTACTATTCAAAAAGCTTAAAGAAAATGAAATAATTACTGTATGAGGGTATCAAGTCTGACGTTTTACTACAACGTCATTTACTACACATTTTGATAGCATTCTTTAGTGTAACTCTTTCTAATGAACGAACAAAAAACGATTTGACAATAAAAATAATCTATTCTTATTATCGATCTATCACTTCTATGTCATCGATCGGTTCAATCAACTTGCCGTTTTCACTAATGCCGATCGCCGGTTGTCGGTTTCTGCGATAAGATTAGCTGTTTTTGCCGGACCGGAGTATGTGTGTAATGTCTATATAATTATATAGACAGGGCCGTACCTGGGTAGGCGGCCGCTCTGTGCTCTCTCATGTCCCAAATTTGACGACGACGACGACGAGGGGGGGATTTCCCCCAATTTTCGCCCGTCGCCAGGATCGGCCCTGTATATAGCATAAATAGGAAAGGAAACGAAATAATTTAATTTTTTTTTCAATACGTCAGCCAATCCTCGTTATCAGAAATCATCTTTAGTTCCGGAACGCGTTCCTGTCCAAAAAGGAAGTACCGGAACGACGTTCCGGAGCGTTCCGGCTCGACAACACCACTGGGTATGTGATAATTTTAATAATGTAAGAACAAGAAAACGAATGTATTTCTACTAATTTTCTCGGTTCCTATGTCAAATCAAAAACAGCAGGTATCATAAGATCTTTTCACTTTTGATGACCTTGTTTCAAAAGCAACACGTACGTAAACGACTATCGAAAACTCGCGCGTTGGTATTGGGCGAATTCAACTTGAAGATTTTTGTTTCGTTTGACTTTTAAAAGAAAGAAGCAACGGCGGTAATACGAATGATAGAATTGCGTCTGAAAGATATCGCGAGACTTTTAATTTACTTTTCGTTCTTGTTACGTGCTTTTGTGAATTATGTTTTCGGTTTCGAATTTCTACAGCGTATTTCACCAAAACTACTCACACTTTAATTAAGTATTCAGCGCGAACGCCATGTAAAACACGGGGAAAGCGATATTGCTATTACGTGGTAGACATATCGATAATATTTTGCTTCTATTTCAGCATCTGCATAGAATAAATTTACTTTCCAACATCAACGGGTGGAGCTAATTAATTTTCAGCCCGTTTCTGTTCTACAATTCAATAAATTGATGTAAACTACCTTGTCGCAATTATACATAAATTAAATTCCCTTTGTTTAGCAAATGCCTTAGTGCTTTTCAAATTTTTCTTGACCTACTGGCTAACTGATAAAGAAAATTTAAATATGCAGAGTAGATACTGGTATGCAAGGGAAGAAAAAGTAAGGAAAGAGCAAATATAAAGATAGGAGACGAAAAATTAGAAGAAGTGGCTGATTTTAGATACCTAGGAAATCAGATAAGTCAGGATGGAAGGAGTAGTAGGGATATAAAGCAGAGGATAGCTCAGGGTCGCGTTGCCTTTAATAAAAATAAGTCACTTCTATGCTCGCGAACGAAATTCGAAAAAGGTTGTTAAAGGTGTATGTTTGGAGCACGGCATTATACGGGTGCGAAACATGGACAGTCGGCGCGGCGTAAAAGAAAAGGTTAGAAGCGTTCGAAATGTGGTGTTATAGGCGGATGATGAGGATATCGTGGGTAGAGAAGGTTAGAAATGAAAAGGCATTAGAAAGAATAGGAGAACAGAGGACTCTATGGAAGTCAATAAAAAATAGGCGAGATAGGTTGGTAGGACACCTTCTTAGGCATCAAGGTCTAGTCAGAGACATATTAGAGGCAGAAACACTAGTTAGGAGGGGTAGAGGTAGACCCAGGTTAGATTACTGTTCGCAAATAGTTAAGGATGTGGGTTGTTCAATTTTTGGGGAAATGCGAAGTTTAGCTCAGGATAGAAAAAAGTGGAGGTACATGTCCAACCAGTCTTAGGACTGACGACCTTATGATGATGATGATGATGATGATGATGATGCAGAGTAGAACTTAATTCCAGCAAACTTATTGCACCACTAAGTTAGGAATTTGTAATGTTCTTTAAATCAATTGAATATACATGACGTACTTATATTTTTTAAGTAACATTTAAGTAAATTGCATATTTTGTATTATTTGTTTTCTCAACCTTCGAATTTTGCTGCCCCTGGGACGTTGCCGCCTTGGATACTAGCTTGTAGCATCCTAATGTACATCAAGCACTGCTCCTAAGACTTAAAACCATAATAAGCCTGTATATAATTCCTGTTGAGCTCGACGTGTATAACCTTTCGTTTTTCTTTTGAATCCTTTTCCTTTTCATTTATATCCAAAAAAAATCTTTTACATTATACCTCATGTTTTTTCATGATATTACAGATCCGGGTCCTTTTTCTATTTCACTTTCCTTAAAGAAAATTGAGAAAGTATATGCATGATCTTATACGTATAAGGTATAATACTACAAGAGCTTTAGCTAGCTACTGAAAAGGAAAGCTTTAAAGAGAATCAACCCTCATATGGTTATCGCAAATAAAAGAAATCTTACAGATCGAAACATACACGACTATAACACTTAGTAATCCATTTCCCTTTGCCCTCTGAGGTCAGAAGAGTTCGAATCTGACATTATCTTACACATGACCTTTAGTCTTTTTTTTTTTTGTACGGTAAAAACTACAGAAATATGACAGTTTCTGAAATGTTATAGCTCCAGTTTAGTCTATTTAAACTTCAATACAAACTAACATACTACTTAAATATTTAATTAGGTAATTATGTTATCCTGCCATTATTCCGCCATTATTTCTATTTTCCTATATTTTAGTATCTACACTGGCGTGATAATATGATTTATATATGTCGATAAATGTTCAATAACCATCTTTATAGTCATAGTTCTACCAAAAGCTAGCTCAGGCACAACTATTTCAATTATAGCTCTAAAATGGATTTCATACCGAAAACGGCTAAAATGCACACCAAAGGAGTGATATTTTGTGTTGTACAAAACATTAACTATAATATTTTTGACAAAATGACCCGTCCAGCTGCTAGAAAATTTTTGTAGCTTTAGTAGAAATATAGATTTGTTCCCTTTTTCATGAAAAACTGAAAGACCTAAACTGATGTGTTTCAACGAACATAAATTAATGTTTGTAGCTAGATGCAGTAGAAGTTATTGTTAATCATTTTTTGTTTTCAATACTTACAATTATTGAAACTACGTTTTTTTTGGGCTTGAATTTTCCAGCCTATTATTTGATTATGCATCAAAGAGAGCATTGTTTTTATCGATTTAGTATCATTTGATGTGAGGTACTTGATTTTAAAATAACCCATTAACTGTATGTATCCCCTTTGTACAATGAAAGCAAAATTTGAATTTCGTAAGGGTTTCGTTATACGAGGGTGGATTGATAAGTTTCCGGCCTGACCAAGAAAAACAAGGTTTTTAAAAATTTTTTTTTTTTATTTCTCAACATAATCTCCTCCNTTTATAGTCATAGTTCTACCAAAAGCTAGCTCAGGCACAACTATTTCAATTATAGCTCTAAAATGGATTTCATACCGAAAACGGCTAAAATGCACATCAAACGAGTAATTTTGTGTGTTGTACAAAACATTAACGGTAACATTTTTGACAAAATGACCTGTCAAATGTGAAGTGCAACCAGAAATAAGCAACTATTTATACATTGAGATACGGCTGTTAGAAAATTTTTGTAGCTTAGTAGTCATATTGATTTGTTTTCTTTTTCATACACTTTCAATAGCAATGAAGAACTAAAAGACTTAAATTGATGTGTTTCAACGAACATAAATTAATGTTCGTGGCTAGATGCAGTGGAAGTTATTATTAATCATTTTTTGATCTCGATACTTACAATTATTGAAACTATGTTTTCTAAATATGTAATAAATCGAAGCTATTAAAGAGTACAGGTTTTTACCTTAATGAAGCCTCAAAACTATAAGACGAAACGTTACTTTATTATGAAGTTAATAATAAAAGCGTTTACCTCTTATCTTCGATTTGTTATCAAATATTGAAACAATCGAATTTATTAACAAACATTATGTGTAAGAATTTACAACATTTGTTTATAACGTAGAAGCAGGAGATACTTGAAATTGGCAGAACGAACTTAATTTACTTCTAAAGGCGGTATGCCTATTAGCAGCATAATTTCCGTAAAGCATTCCTGATGAACATTCTCGATAAACCGTCGATTTTAGATGAAGAGCGTGGTACGTACGTCGTTCCGCTTAATGCAGTGAAATTAATGGAACCTGGAGTGGTACAGACATCTCAAATCCGAATCTTTGTTTAACACCTGTCGGTAGCAGCTTATCTCGATATCTTGCCTGATGAATTGAATGTCGCAATCTCGATTTCCCTGTTTACTGGCATGTAACCCACTTCTTGCTAATTCGCTTGTTTTATCCATCAATATGAACAATCGCCTACAATCGCACTACACAGCATACAGAATAAATGATAGTTCTGCAGGGCGACTATAAATACTTAATATCATCACGACGAAAGATTCAAGAAAGCATATAAATAGATGTGTACTATAAAAGACATAATTTCGTTGAAGACGCAATAAAGTAATTGAGGGCAAATTCACCGTGATATTGAAGGAAAACGATGCTCTATTTTCCAAAGAAAATTAAATTCTTGAAACAGTAATTTATTGAGATCCCAACTCATCCCTATCGGAAAATAATTCTCCTTTTCTGTGCTGACGTCTATTGCGTAATTTAATAAAATAATGCGTACATTAAAGGCATTTGGGCCAAATGTGAACAATTTTCCTGAAAAAAAATCCGTATCATAGTGAAGCATAACTTCATCAGGCTTAAAAAATAGAATAATAAAATAAATAAACATGAATTAATGCTCTTTAAAAATTCGATTATACTAAAATTATACAAAATTTTGATACTCAGTTATAAGTACGTATTTTTTAATGAAAATGAGTGTTAACACTTGAGGTTTATGAAACATAATTTAAATATATTTACTTATATATAAAAATTGATTTCAACATACTTTATTAAACATACCTTACTTAACTTAAACTAAAAGTCAAATAAGGTGGAATATTTTCTTCAAACTTTAATGGGCCCATCTTTGAGGTATGACCTATTATTTTCTAATAATGAAAGAATAATTAAAATCGATTCACACATTAAGTCATATTAAAAAAAAAATCTTTTTTAACTAGATTGACTAAACACGTGACAATTAAACCATCTGAATTTGCAAATATTTTAATTTTTGGGGCTGTTTTGCCTTGGTGAGTGGCAATCTACTTTTCACTATTTAATGCTGGCAATACCACCAGTGGCATTTGGACCCGGAGCTTCAACAAAGTCATGACTCAAAAAGTATTGGTCGCGGAAACTCTTTTCTAAATAAAGCTTGTATTAGTTATTAAAAATACTTACCTATCGTAGGTGTATTCTCGAAGAAACATGTTAATATAGAGAAAAGCAAAACAAGAGTTTTTGAAGGAGTAGTAGTTACGTTATAACATAAATATTCGATAAAATTGTTTCGACCTAGTCATTTTGAAAACGATCGACTTGCTAAAAATAAATGTCGAGTATATTACATGTTGAGATATATGCTTTTTGTTTCTTTCTTATAAAATTATTTTGTGAGTAAAGGATTGGCAAATATTCATACTTCACGTTTTAAAAAAAATGCTTTAGAAAAGTTAGTTATTCCTGTATATGCCGTATGGATTTAAGTACTAACCATTTAAGGTATTATCAAAAACAAACCGTAATTAAAAAGATAATAATAATAACTATAATGTTTAAACCATTGAAATTCAGATTTATTTCATTCCTAGAATAGACTACGGAAAGGTTGTTCGATCCTTGACTAATGGAGGAATTTGAAATGTAAACAGATTTGCTGCATATCCCTCGAATTTGAAATCTTACACTTAGTATCTCCTTGAGTGACTCCTTTGGGTAGGTAACTCAAACATAACAAGTATTGGCTTACCATACATGCCTGCTAATTAATTAATAGCATATATCAAGTAGTACAAATTAGCATTGGTTAATTCGATCACTTTATGATGCCGACTGCGTTTGTTTGAAATTATTTGTTAAAAGCATTTGTAAAATAATGCACGGTAAAATTCAGATATTGGTGAAATAGGTGCTAAATTATTGTTAAAAGCTCACATTATTCTTTTAGACAGGGAATAAATATTGAATGCTGTGTGTTATATAGGCACAGCAAATCAATCATTTAAAAAACTGTAATACATATATGAAAAACACTAAACCATACTATCAAAATTAGACGATTGATTCTGTTTTGCCTTAGGTTTTCGCAACCAACAATTGTTTGTGTTTGGAATTGTAAGCGTTGTTCACGCATGGTGAGCATATTGAGAAATGTCATCATCATCATAGGATCGTCAGTCCTAAGACTGGTTGGATATGCACCTCCACTCCTTCCTATCCTGAGCTAATCTTCGCATTTCCCTAAAACTAGAACAACCCACATCCTTAACTATTTGCGAACAGTAATATAATCTAGGTCTACCTCTACCCCTACTAACTCCCGTTCCTGCCTCTAATATGTCTCTGACTATACCTTCATGCCAAGGTGTTCAACCAACTTATATTGACTTCCGCAGAGTCCTCTGTTCTCCTATTCTTTCTATACCTCATCATTTCTAACCCTCTTCATTCGCCTGTAACACCACATTTTAAAAGCTTCTAACCTTTTCTTTTCCGCCGCGCCGACCGTTCAAGTTTCGCACCCGTACAGCGCCATTCCACATACACCTTTAACAATCTTTTTCAAATTTCTAAATCATATTGAGAAATATATCTGATGAAAATTAATCTTTAAATCATAAACACACTTTTTTTTCTTGCGGATGATGGACCTATAACTCTAAAGATAACTAATAAATTCTTTTGTCTAAAATAATACATTTACTTCTGAAATATCCATTTATTTTAATACCTACTTCACATATTTCCACTGAATCTTCTTGCTTCCAAAATTAAGGACATTTCCGATATATATGCTTTTAATATATTTTTAACTTTCTAAAGCATTTATTGTTGAACTAATAGTAACAAGATAAGTACAATAGTTTTAATGGCAATTCATTGAATAAAGTTGGCTATTTGTGCACTTCAGCCATCTCGAATTAATGAAGGATCAGCTTAAAGTTGCCTCAAAATGAACGTCTGGATTAGCCATCGGCTCTCTCAGAGTTTCAGTGTTCTTATTTGCAATGGGAAGACTTAAGCCCTTATTGAACAAGTAGTGCACACAAACGAACGCACGTACTGCATACACAGACACACATGGTTACACAGAGTGATGTTATTACATTTAGAGAGCATTGTGAAGTGGCCATTACTGTTGTTCAGTCGTATATAGATAAAAGGAGCCCTGCGGGGAAAGAAATGTGTTATCATTATCATTTGTAAGTAGTGTTTTCAAGAGAAACGAAACAAACCCAAAGCAAGCATCATAAATACTAAAAGCATTGCTAGTGTTTTTACGATGGGGATACATTCCAGAGGAATTTATCATCACCAGCAGTTGAGATGTTAGCGCCATTTGCGCTCTATTTGCTCTATTTGAACGAAATGTGAACATCCTTCGGCCCATACATTTCCTAGTAATTTATTTCGGCTCTGAATCACGCTCGCTTTACTCAAGTTATTTAAAATTTGTCACCAGCATATTTACACGACGTTCCCAAACGGATGACAATCGATATCACAACTACAAGGTATTACAACCTGCAGCAGTTACAAATGCATGAATATTTCAGTGACGACTGGTACATAGGGACAAAGGGTGACGTCTGCTCAGTCCTATTCTATTATTGTTTTTAATTATAATAATAGGAGGACATTAATTGTACTCATATGGGAACCCAAATTAAGAATGATAGATGTATGACTAGTCTACTATTTATCATTTAGAATTGTTAGCCATTTCAGAATTGGTATTTTAGAAATTTCGTAATTGTTGAAGAAGGTTTGAAGAAAGGTTATCGGTTATGAAGAAACAGAAAACAAAATAACTGAAACCAGATCATAAACCGATGAGGTATGTGTCAAGAATAACAGGAATCCCCTTGGAATTACAAGGCAAACAATTTCAAAATGTCTGGCATCAAAGTTCATTGATTTCTATCGAAGTAAACAAAACACGGTTTTAATGAACGCATTTAGACTTTCACTATAATATCTTTGATCTTTGGGGCTGCAATTGTGTGAGTATTGTATGTGCATGGGACCATATTTCCAAATTTAGACGGATGGTATTTTAATAGTGAATAGCACTTATATTTTAAGCAATTCCTTCCTCCATATCATACCCCAATCGTTCCATTGACGGGCGTCTAGTCAAGTCACTAGCACGTCATATATGTCCTATGACAGGATATTGACATTTCAACTCGTCTAACACGCCAAAAGGTTGGTGATTTTTAATAAAAGTTTCGATTGAACGACAGCATACTAGACTTCGAAGGTGGGCCTAAATTACAGTTCCATTCTTTATTATAAAATATCTGCATTTTAATAATCAGCTAATTCCAGAAATTCGGATCTTAAAAAGAAACAATACAACAAATTATCATTACAAACCTATACTTACGCAGATCTATAACTATCTGGAATATTATTAAGGTACATATCTATAGTGATAACGATGATAGGCATTCAGATCCAAAAATATCAACTCAGATTTGCATCGAAGAAATTAGTTGCAGAGCACATATTACGTTAAAATACAATAAAGCTCGCATTACTGAAACTCAAAAAGTCAACAATATTTGAGTGGCAATATAACAAATTATTATTCAATAACAATAACCATCCTAGTTAAGCATACCTATAAGCCGCTACTGTCTACAATTGGTACATCCTAAATATACCGGAAGTAAAGCCTTGTCTGTATTCATGACTTTTTTAGACATTAAATATTTGTTAAGGAATTGAACTTGGTTTCGTACTCGTCGATGATACGAAATGGATACAGTTGTTTTGCAATTTTTGAGGTCTAGTGATAACTGATAACTGAGAGGAAAAGATAAGCACAACTGCACCTATAACAAATATTTATGTACCTAATAATAGTCCCTAACAGATATTTATTTAAACATAAAAGAGACCGCAAAAATTGCTGCACCAAATTTCATATTGTTTTGATCCTTGTAGATACTCTTTATATCTAACGCACATTTAATCGATTAAACTACGTACTACGTATGTAAATAAAAAGATTACTGCACAATTGTATTTTGTATAAGTGGATTATATCGTCATCAATAATTTTTCAGAGAATTCGCAGTGAATAGCCTAGATGAATTATTAATCTGTATATTTTGCATTACCAGGAATTTCAATTTTGTAGGAATATTATCTGTCTAAATAAAGTTCTAATAAAAGCTATCTGACTGAAAAATTATAAATGCTTTTACATGCCATTTTTAAAGAGAACTAAGGCTTTTTATTTTTCATGAAAATATTAAAATTTTCCTTAGCTCTAAACCGTGAAAACAACTTATTAAATAACATGGAAAATGGAAAATAACATTCAAACTTCTGACATATCGGAAATAAATATAAAATTCTAAATTTTGGGTTCTTTATCGTCTACCAAAATGTAATATAAAGATATTTATGCAGTTCGTATATCAAAAAAATGGTAAAGGCAAGCCTGTCAAACATGATGATCGATTTATATTTAATACAACGATCAAACTCACTAAAATTTCCTCAGAGAAAAAACACAGAAGCACGTGCAGTCACTATCAACTGTAGATCACCAGTGTTATGTGGAAATTTATGTTATTTTGTTATTTGCAAAATAACAGACCTTCCTCCAACTTAAATAATACACGTTTTTTTTAAGTTGCTTCTTAATAAAATCTTATGTTCCATTTAATACATGAATTCATGATGCTTTTTTTGATAAATATTTAGTTTGTGATCTAATTGAGTCAGTAATTACGCCCACAAAATGGGAGCTGACGTATTAAGTATAGATATACATACGTGCATTTTATCTCTGGCATTGAGTCACTCTTGATCCATTCATGGATATATTTTTTGACAAACTTCCAATATTACTTGGCAAACATTACAATTTTGTAGCTTATGTTGAACTGTTTATTGCCTTTTTATTTAGTCACAGAAAATGCGATCTGGCGAATAGTTCAGTAAAAATGAGTTGCATTAAGTGTTTATTTTTAACAACAAAGGACTCGTACGGGTATGTACAAAACTCTGATAACTTTTGCATGACTAATATTATTAATGTTGCTTATCACGATCAATAACTATAATTAATTATTACAGTAAGTATTTATTAATTACGTCCAATCTGAATAATTCTGTTGCTCCAAAACACAGATAAAGCTTGCTAAAATTTCATGTGCATGGAGACACAGTATTGAAGCAACTTATTCCAACGAAAGCGTATTATAGAAAAAACAAAGTTTTATTGAGAAAATCTTTAGTATCAAATATATAAATATGTCTTCTATAAGATAATCCACTTAACTAATTATTATTTTATTTTTCAAATTTGAGTAAAAAATAAATAAGTTAATCAAATATTAAGTACGCAAAAGCTTTAGTTTCTCCCTTTTCAAATTGAAAATGGATGAAATAGCCTTAGATAATTGCCATCTGCATAAAGGTCAAATTTTAATTTCAAGTAGCTGTCATATTCGAAGCGCGCAGTATTTTTAGTCAGGCTAAAAATACCGGAAAGTTCAAGTAATCCCAAATACGATGTTTTCTTTCTTAATAAGCGATCCAATTTTAAAATGTACCATCTTCATTTCACTGAGATTAACAATACTATATATATATATTTGTGAAAAACACGTAGACAAATCATGATGGTTAATAATTGATAGTAGACATATCTGTCAATCTATCTATTTTGTTAATTTACAGTTAAAGTTGCAAATGCATCATCTATTATCCACTTAACAATCTGTTTGCAATAATCTAATATGCATTGCAAACTATCCAAAATTTTCAGAAGAAATTATTCATCTACATGAATGTGTATTTCTCCATTTGTAATGAATATGATAGTCAGTAAGCCTTCATTGTATATGATATTATCAATAGAAAACATCGACTGTTTTGGGAATTACAAATAATGGAACTTTTCTGTAGTACATTTATTCTTAGATCATCATAAGATTGTGAATATGAAATCCCTTGACGATATCGACCAAAGGTCAACCATTATGTTTTTAGGTCTACAATCAGTGTGTTGTTAATCTTCGATAAGTCGATATCCTTATGGACCTTTCCCCAAAAAATTTAGCAATTTTAGGTAAATGGCATTCACCACGCTGTCTGTAATAGATAATTTATTCTTGTGGGGTACTAAAAAAACTTTTGATTTAGATAATGTTTTCAATATGAGTCACCTCAAAAAGACACTTATCGCTAAATGTT